CCCAAGACCAAGGGGGAGAAACCAATGTTCTAAAAATCCCAAGTATTTCCACGTCTCCGGAGCATAACCGTGAGAAGGGGGCTTTGATATTCACAACACGCTTTTACAATGAAAACCACCCGGAGACTTTTTTTTTTTTCCTTTCCAAGGAGAATTGAAGTGAGGACGTTTCTTAAAAAGTCCTCAGTGCCTCCATTAGAAATACAATCCAAGTTCTCAAAGTGCTAGATTTATTTTGCCAGGTAACCACCCAGCTTTTCCTTCCGACAGTCAACTCTTTGGGAGTGAAGTCAGACAGTACCATTTATGCAGCAACATTTTATTAAGCCGAGCTTCACCGTCACAGAGAGAATTCCCAAATTAATCTCTCTACTCCTAACTCTCCTTTAAACTTTATAATCTTATTTCAAACCAATTATTTTACCTTTTTGGTTTCTTTTCTCTATCTCAACAATCTCATGCTGGAGAGAGTCATGCCATCACACTTTACAGGGATAAACGGGGAATTAGGTAGAAACTCTTTCCTGGAATATGTTCTGTGACTTTTGAGACGAGAAATACTTGTTCTTAGGTGGATAGTACTGACCCTTGAAATGCAGTAATCCGTTGGAAAATAATATACTGCACAATTCAGTCTTGGTTCCCCTATGTTTCCATTCAAGGATATATTAATAAATAAAAACAATGTGGTTTAGTCTTTTTTAAAAAATTGCTAGAATAATATTTGTTTAAAAACAGAAAACCCTAAACGAGAAAACAATCCAGACAAAAAGTGCCCATTATTGCAGCCCAGAGAATCTCTGTTAACATAGTTAGAAAAAAAAATTATACATGTGTCATGGATTGAATTATGTCCCCCCAAAAATGTGTGTATCAATTTGGCTGGGCCATGGTTCCCAGTATTGTGTGGTTGTCCTCCATTTTGTGACTGTAATTTTATGTTAAAGAGGGTTAAGGTGGGATTGTAACACCCTTACTAAGGTCACATCCCTGATCCAATGTAAAGGGAGTTTCTGTAGGGCGTGGCCTGCACCACCTTTTATCTTACAAGAGATTAAAGGAAAGGGAAGCAAGCAGAGAGTTTGGGACCTCATACCACCAAGAAAGCAGTGCCTGGAGCAGAGGGCGTCCTTTGGACCTGAAGTTCCTGCTCAGAGAAGCTTTTAGTCTGGGGGAAGATTGATGACTACGAGGAACTTCCCCCAGAGCCAACGGAGAGAGAAAGCCTTCCCCTGGAGCTGACACCGTGAATTTGGACTTCTAGCCTACTAGACTGTGAGAAAATAAATTTCTCTTTGTTAAAGCCATCCACTTGTGGTATTTCTGTTACTGGCAGCACTAGATGACTAAGACAACACGCATAAGTTCCTTAAAAGAATTAAGAGCTCACAAAAGCAAATATTGACGAATATTTCACTTGCTCACCTACATCCTGTGCCTTCATCACACTCTCCAGAGAGGTAAACAAATCACCAATAAATGAAAAAAAAAATCATGGCATATGTATATTCTTTAAAAATGTATACACCATACTGTTACTGTATATTCTTCCTTGAAAAAAATAAAATTATATATTCATTGGCATTCTTTTTATATCACCAGATTGTTTGTAATGGCTACAAAGTTTATTATACATATGTACCATGATTTATTTAATCTGTTCCCTGCTGATACATATTTTCATTGTTGCTGGGTTTTGCTATTATGAGCACTGTTGCTATGAACGTTCTTTTATAGGCACTCTTGCCTTCCTATAAGGGTATAGAATTAATTTCTGTGTCTAGAAAACACTGAATCCACATGAATATGCATTAAAATATTTTATAGATATAGCCAAACTGGCCTTCAATAAAGATTGTGCTAATTTACACTTCCAATGGGAATGTATAGAAGTGCTTGTTGCCCACATCCTTGACAACGTGGGATATTAGCCAACTTTAATATTGCTGCCAATCTGATGGGTCACACTACAGGATGGAGACCCAAATATATATTTTCAGGGAACCTCAAACATCTATACCTTAGATCTTTTCTCTTGTGCTGGTCAAATTCTCTAGAAAGAAGTCTTTCCATTTTCTTCCTGGGTACTGGGACGTGGGCTGTGTGTTAGCTAGCACGCGAGCATTCTGAGTCCTGTGAGGTCCTGCACAGGGTTTAGGATGCAGACTTTCATGCTACCCCTGTTTTCACTAAGCCCTTCACTCCTGCTCTCAGCTCTGACTGGTGTGCCTTAGCCCAGTGCCTGGCTGCCTCACTCTTCCGCCATGACCAGAGAGGGACATTTCCCTTGCTGGTTGGGCAAGAGAGGAAATCCAATGTCCAAGTACTCTACCTACAAACTTCAACCAATCCCCCCACTTGTTGCCCCACTTTTGCCTGTTTTCAAAGCTAACTCATGCCTCTAATTTTGGGGCCTTGCTGCATTTCTCCAGCATAATTTACTGGATTATTCTCAGTTTCTTCCCTGAAGACACTTGGCAAAGTGGAGAAACAGGAAACCTCAGCCAATCATGACTTACCCATCTGCTTTCCATGTACCAAAACCTTACTGTTAATTCTTCTGCTATCTTCTTACCACTCTTTGTTCTTGTAGATTAAAGACCTTCCTTGACCGATACCTTAGTGGGTTTCGGAAAGGAGTGGATCTGTTCAATTTACCATGTATAACCTGAAGTTAGTAATAGCCATGTCACAAAATTGTCATGAGAATAAAATCTTATAGTGTATATGAAAGCACTTTGTACACCATATAGTCCTACACACGTATCAGGGATTATTATAGTACATTGCCACAAATTTCTTCAGCCATCTTTCATCAGTGGATACAAATGAGATCATGTTGATAGCACTAAGTTGGCTGCACCTGGCTTTTAGCTACATTCAGTTTCGTAAAGCTTCATCCCCATCAAATTCTCATCTGGTTATTTTTAAGAATTCCCAGAACTCGAGAATACTACTTGCAAAATTTATTTGCATACGTGGTAAGTACAGGTTGCTTTAGACACGCAGGGTATAAATCAGTGAATAAGACAAAGAGTCCGCTGCCTAAAGACTTGTATTCTAACAAGGACTGGCAAACAGCAGAGCATAAATAGAAGTCAACTATGTAGTATACAAGAAGATGATACGTGTGATGGGAAAAGAAGGCATGTAGTTGGCATAAGGAGGTGGGAAGTACCAGGGTTGGGAGAGGTTACAATGTTAAGTAGGGGAGTCAGTTAGAGCCTCACTGAGTAGTTGACATTTGAACAAAAACTTAAAGAGGGTGAGGAGGTGAAGTAACATTGATATCTGGATGAAGAGTGTTCCAGACCAAAGGAACTGCAAGTGCTAAGACCCTAAGGGGCAGACTGGGGTGGGATAATAGCTGGTGGTTTTGAAGACGGTATGCCTGGAGCAAATGGGTAAGGGGTAAGTAGTAAGACAGGAGATCTGGAGGGGTGTGGATCATATAGGTCACATGTGGAGGACTTTGGAATTTTCCATTAGATTTTATTAAAGGAGCATAATCCTCCTTATGTTGTAAAGTGATTACGCCAGCTACTGTGTTGTAAATAGACTAGAGAAGAGCAAAGATGAGAGCAAACGGACCAGTTTAGATGCTATTGCAGTCATCAAGGCAAGAACTGACAATGGGTGGCTCATACCAGAGAAGTGGTAAAGACTAAAGCTTTTTTGATGCCATCGTGTTGATTCCAGCTCATGGTGACCCCATGGGAGCAGAGCAGAACTGCTGTATAGGGTTTTCAAGGCTGTGACCTTTTGGAAGGAGGTCTCCAGGCCTGTCTTCTGAGGAGCTTCTGGGTGGGTTCAAATCGCCAACCTTTTGGGTAGTGCTCATGTGCTTAACTGGTTGTGCCATCCAGGGACTCCAAGATTTCCTGCCAATCTGGATGCTGGTCGTAACACAAGGAGAGGACCCAAAGATGACTCCAAGTTGTTTGGCCTGAGCAATTGGAAGGTTGCAGTTACTATCACTTAGGTAGGAAAGGCTTTGGATAAAACAGGTCAGAAAAAGAAGATTAGGAGACTGGTTTGGTCACGCTAAATTTGAAATGTCTTTTAGACAACCAAGTGGAGATGTTGATTGCTTTGTTTAACTTAAGATCATAAGGCTCTGCCATGAATCACTTTCCCTGTCACCCTTGCTGACGGTCACTGCCAAAAAGCCGGTTAAGGACGTCTCACTGCTCCTTGTGCAGTCAGAATCCTCAATGAAAACTCTGATGTCTCTGTCAACATGCTCTAAGAAATGCCAAGCTTGAGACACCAGAGAAAGGCTGTGGGCTCATGTAAAATGCACCCATGTGAAAGGGGGGTGTTCTCCGTCTTCTCCCCATAGTGGCATTACATGTGCCCCCACATCTTAAGTAATCTCCTTCAGCATCTATCTACCCTTCTTTCCTCTTCAAGCCGAGGCATACAACCCCTTGGTTTGAGACTTGTAATCTTCCTCTTCTTTCATACCTCACCATTCTACTCCAAACTTTTCTTCTTCCTATACGTTCTCCCATTACCCTACACTCTCCCATTACTCTCTCTGGTTCTGAGTCTGGAGAAGTGTGGATCCTTTCTTGGGCCATTGCTAGATTACGATACGTTTTATTGACTCCATACCAGGGGAGAGGTCAGATTAAAATGAAGATATCGAGGCAGAGAAAGGTATGTTGTGTACTGAGTGTAATCCTAAACTTAACAATTGACACATCTTCGCGCACCTGATTACTCCCTATTTAGGTACCAATGGAGAAACATTAACTTGGTTATGTAGCATAAAAGTCACAACACAATAGTAGTACATTGAGAGTCCATTAATTCTGCATTGAAACCTCTTCGTCACCAAAACTCTTTTCCTACATCCCCTTTGTTTTGTTTAATTGCCCTTTTTCTGGCTATACTAATTGATCTCTGGAAATTCTACACTAAACAAAAGTCTTTTTCCTAAATTTGATGTTTTGGAATTACAAATATTTCTAATACTGTCAATCGATGATCCGGATCTAAAATCGGCTTGTTTTTAGAATTTCTTCATATGGAGGTGGGGGACCTAGAGCACCAAAACACGGAACAGGATGCAGTTCAGGGTTTTGAGTTTGAAGGTGAATTCCAATAGTTGGACTCCCAGCTGCTTCTGTCCCTGGAAAGAGAAAGATAAAGACTTGTAATCTTCCTAGTCAGCATAAAACAGAAGTGCATGAACTGCCTGATAAACTCTGGCATTTCTTGGATCACTGGAGCAACAGAAAATTATTTGTACCCTTGAGAAAAAAATTCACAACCGTCTTGCTCGCTGCAGTGATGGTTTAGTCATTTCTCGCATGAGCCGATTATATCGTCATTGACTAACCCGTCAAGAAGTATTTACAGTTTAGCAGCTGGAACTAGAAGGAATACTCTCTTTGCTAGATAAGAAGAAAGGATTCCTATAAACACTAGCAGCATTTTATCTAACGCTCCCATCATGGGAAATGCAAGTCTCACTAGGAACATTAAAATATTACTTTCTAAGATTTATTTTTTATATTTATACTTGCAAACTGCGACTGATACAATTAATTACTTAAACATCTCTCTGACTATAAAGAAGAGTAAAAATGCTCAGTTAAACTGTGAAGAGTTTACACTAAAGCATACACACACAATAAAGAGAAGGAATTGTGAAATTTAAAAAAAAAACGCTTTGCAATCAAATTTCTAAACCTCTAGATTTTGCATACTACAGTCCATTAAATATTAAAAACAAGCGTTTTTTTCCTCAAACTCGTCACCCTGAGAGGCCATCTGCTTAGTCCAATAGCTCAACAATTTTTGGAAAACTTCGATTAATATTTCCTTGAAAGTCTTTGTTGAGAGTCACATGGGAAGTTAATAGTAATATTTTATAACCATCTCTATTTATCCTTTCTGCCTCCCCCACCCCATTGATTTCACTCCACATGCTCTTCTCTGGCTTTTTACCTGCCTTTCAATGACCTTGACTGCTTCTTCCCAAAACATTAGCAGCAACCATAAATTCACCTTTAAAGAAGCGGTTGGCAACCTAGGCCCTTGAACTATACCCGAAGCTCTGACTGGTCTTGTAAATTCTATTTCACTGGCACACGGCCATGCTCATTCACATACATATTGTCTATGGTTGTTTTTCCACCCCAAGGACAGAGGTGAATAATCCTGACAAAGACCATATGGTTTGCAAAGACAGAACTACTTACCCCCTGACGCTGGCCCTTTACAGAAAAAAGTTTGCTGATCCCTGTTTTAAAGGCTTAAGATTTGACGCCACTGAGGAGATTCGAGAAAACGTGCCACAGATACCACGGGAATTCAAAGAGTGTTTACTCATGCAGTAGGCAATAGCTGCATCACTGGAATCTAGACGTCCATCACGCAAAGTGATTATTTTAAAGTGGATGATGTTAACTTAGAATCATGGATTTGTGTATATTTGTCTTACCTCACAGTTTCTCATGCTGTTATTATTAGTGGTCATTGAGTCAATTCAGACCCACGGCGACCCGCGTGTTACAGACTAGAACTGCTCCCTAGGGTTTTCTTGGCTGTCATCTTGACAGAAGCAGATTGCCAAGCTTTTTTTCTGGACTACCACTGGGTGGATTCAAACTACCAACCTTTAGGTTTTGAACCACCTAGGGACCTTACTCATAGCAAAGGATGATAACAAACGTTAATATAAAATGCGAAGGATAGAGTGGTATTTAGAATATCGGCCTCACCCTCCAGGCAAACACTTTTCTTAGAGAGTTATTTACTTAATAAAATAAATTAGTCCTTGGATATTACATAACATTTTTGTGCCTCAGTTTTCTCTTATGCAATTAAAAAAAAAAAAAAGGATAATATTAGTTTCTACCGCCACAAAAGCAAGGCTAAAAGAGTGTAAAGTGCTTAGAACAAGGCCTGGCACACAGGACTCATTAAAGGTTAATTATTATTATCCTCGGAGTCCCTGGGTGGTGCAAATGGTTAACTCAGCAGCTGCTAACTAAAAGGTTAGAGGTTCGAGTCCACCCAGAGATGCCGCGAAAGAAAGTCCTTGCAATCTATTTCGGAAAAATCAGCCACTGAAAACCCTGTGGTACACATTCTACTCTGACACATATGGAGTCTCCATGGGTGGCTAACTGGTGGTAGTGGTGGTGGTGGATTATTACTATTACTATCGCACACTGTATTATGGGAAATAAGCATGCATTTTCTTTTAGTTACAGTATTATTTTCCAATCTTTCCTATGTTAGCCGTTAAATCGTGATTTCATCTTTATCATAATTAAAGTTACAACAAGGAAATTATTAAACAAAAAATACTAAAGAGTTAGTCTTTGGTAGTTAGGAAGTTTAGGCTGATGTAAGTAAGTAAGCTAAGTTTGTGGGACTTGCTAAAACAGAGTTAGACTCGGTAAAGGGCCTCAGTCACTTCCTCCATTGTGAACACTTATACTGAATGCTGGACATTTTCTTGGTAAACTGCTCCTGGTACGTTCAATAGAAAGTCAATGGTAACTTAGTATCTCTGCTTGGAGGTGGTCGACCAGATTGACTGGACACTTTTATTATTTTACTGGCTCCAATTTATTTCTACTTCTGCCGTTATCGATTTTGTGCACCAGGCAACAGGAGCTTGACAATTGCTCTCTGTGCTAGGAAAGTTTTATGGTCCTCTTTTTGCTACAGACTTGGCCATTGCTTTCCAGCTTGTTGTGAAAACCACAAGGCATTAATTTGATAAACATAACTAAGCCAATGTGCTCAGAAATGTTTGTAAAATTGAACAGATATTCTAGTAATTTTCAATTTTTTCTAAAGCATTTTTACATAAAATATCATGTGCTCTGGGGAGACAGGCATTATTTTTTTTTCTTTTGAGAGTTTAAGAACCTCAGTAAAAATGCCAGAAAAACATCCTACAGTTTTGGCAGAGCCGTTGCTGAAGGTATTAGAGTTGATTGCTTAAGTTTGTAAAACCAATATACTCACCACCATGGTTTTGTAGCTAGAGTTCACATTTCCCATGTCATTAAGAATCACACTGTCTTAATCATCTAGTGCTGCTATAACAGAAATGCCACGAGCAGATGGCTTTAACAAAGAGAAGTTTATTCTCTCACAGTCCAGTAGGCTACAAGTCCAAATTCAGGGCATCAGCTCCAGGGGAAGGCTTTCTCTGTTGGCTCTGGAGGACGGTCTGTGTCATCAATCTTCTGTTGGTCTGGGAGCTTCTCTACGCAGGAACCTCAGGTCCAAAGGACACACTCCACTCCCAACACTGCTTTCTTGGTGGTATGAAGTTCCCATGTGTCTCTGCTCCCTTGTCTCTTTTATATTTCAAAAGAGATTGGCTTAAGACACTATCCCATCTTGTAGACCTCATCAGTGTAACTGCCACTAATCCATCTTATTAGATCATAGTGACTGAATTTTCAACACATAAGGAAATCCCATCAGATTACAAAATGTTACACAATTATACAACATTGGGAATCATGAGCCAGCCAAGTTGACAGATATTTTTGGGGGACACAATTCAATCCATGACACACACCAATGTACTTGGTTTATTTCACCATGGCCATCCCATGTCTTTCTTCTCTTTCCTTCTTTATCTCATTATGAGAGTGGCTAAGACTGTCTGAATTTGAGTCACAATTCTACCATTTGCTAACTGGATGGGCAAGGTGCTAAATCTCTAAGTGCCTTCATTCCTTCATCTTCAAAGTGTTAAGAATGATAGTGAAGCCCTCATAGAGTTGTAGTGAAGATTTAACGTGATTAGAGATGACAAGTGTTAGCACAGGGCATGGCATATGGTAAATGTTCCATACATGTGACCCATTGCTATTATCATGCACTTTCATGAAAGTATATGGATGAAACGCCCGTTTTTCCTAACCTAAAGTGAGTCACAGAATCTTTACACGAAGAACATAAAGCATAAGGAAGAGACATTTTAAATGAACACCAAGACAAAAGACAGAATCCCAGGAGAGGTGAGGGTACAGGCACAGTGCTTTTGTGGGTCTGCTCCCTTTATGCCTGTCTCCAGCTCTTCCTCACCCCTACCAGGTCAAAGCAGTCACATTAAATCATGGCTGGAAGACCAGTATTGCTATTTGCCCTGTAAGTGCCATGGTCTCCCTACTGAAAACACCGACTTTAGAGAAGTTCATGGATCCCAGGATCCGCCATCCAAGAACATGGATCCTACTAGAGGGTAAGGAAGACCCAGCAGCAATCTGAACACAGCAGCAGCAGAGAACTCTGAAACGGTGTGATCATTGGCTCAGGAGATGCTATTAGTTCCCAAGGACCTTTCCAAGACAGGAAATCCTATCAGATATTGCTATGGGTTGTGCTGGCCACTCCTTCTTTAAACATCTTTGATAAGGATTCCAAGCCAAGTGTTTCCTTTCTTTCTTCAGTATTTCTAACGAAGATAATTTGAAACCTAAGCCATGGAATACGGACATGAATTGCCTTTGAGGGATATTTTCTATTTTATATATTTTAACATCAATAACGTCGAGTCAACTCCAGTCTCTGATATTCAGCCAAAATTCTCTTGGCTCTCCTATGGGATACTGAGAGTCAAACCTCTGACCCACAGGACAGAGGAGCATGGCAATTTCAACTAACATATTCAGCAAATAGTGGTAATAAATTAAAATAAGTTTTAGAGAAACAAAGGTCTAGGAGGTACCCAAGGTTAATATATCAAGTCTAATCTCTCCATTAAAATGTTTTAAATGATCTATTCCCCACATTCTGTATTCAGGGGAGAACAACTTGTCTTCCTTTGTGTTTAAGGGGTGGCAGGGAGTCCAAAAACCCTATTTCATATTCTAATATATCAGCAGTGTCATTCCAATGAATTCTCATTTTCCTCTACCCCTTTTGAATAGTGGCTGAGACAAAGACTCACAAGTGCAGCCCCCTAACCTGCAATGTGAGCAGATCCCAATTCTGAAGTTTGTAGCCTATTAGTTGACCTACAGCAAAGAACCATTGTTGCTGTTATTGTTAGGTGCTGTCTAGTCGGCTCTGACTCATAGTATAATGGAACTAACCATTGCCCAGTCCTGCACCATCCTCACAATCATTACTATGTTTGAGCCCATTGTTGCAGCCACTGTGTCAAGCCATCTCATTGAGGGTCTTCCTCTTTTTAGATGACCCTCTGTTTTACCAGGAATGATGTCCTTCTCCAGGCGTTGGTCCTTCCTGATAACATGTCCAAAGTACATGAGATGAATTCTCCCCATCCTTGCTTCTAAGGAGCATTCTGGCTGTACTTCTTCCAAGACAGTATCTTAGACGGAAAGTTTCATAATGGATGATTTCTTGATAAGAACAATGCTTAACATGAACAAATAAGTTATCAAACATGGTATCCCCCAAATCAGTAAATGATTTTTTTTCTACGTAAGCTAAAGCTGGCAGTAACAAATCACTCCAAGACTTTCATTTCCTCCATGCCTTACCACCTTATCCAAACTAGAAAATGATGGGAGAGGGATGGTTTTGGGGTGGGGGTCATGAGCAGACATGATCAGGATGATATCAGTGTATCTGGGGAGAAAGGACATGAGCGTTGATTGCCCTCTGCCAATTCCAACTAGTTCAGACTCTGTATTGATATCAGAAAATCTGGAAGATGTGGTTCAATGTTCTTGCAGATAACTTAAGTGAGTGAGGCATAAAGTGCTTCCTAACTGAGACCATGAACACAGGGCAGGATAGACAAATGCCAAAAGCTCCAAGATGCTCGTCTGCACTTTAAACTCTACGAAACACTTGGAGTGACTAGCCCTATATGTGTCTTCTTTGTCCTTTTGTTGACCGAGCAAAGTGTTTACATTCTATCCCAATAGTCAATTATGAGTCAGTTACCCAAGAGACATTCTTTCTTCTAGCCTTGTCTTCTGAAATTTTTCACTTATACTCTCTCCTCAATGTATTCCTTTGCGTCTCCAATAAGGCCATCTCTTGTTCTAAATCTGATTTTCAGAGAATAGTTTTTCAATTTACCACAAAACCACAAGGGTTTCAAAGAGGAAGTCCAGACGTCCGCAGGCAACTCACCATAAACAGCGTCCAAGTCTCCAACAGAGAAAACGGCCACAGTCTGTCTCGGGGAAACAATTTGAGATCTTTTCAGCCAGCACTGGAGGCAGAAGAGCACAGTTCCACAGAGAAGAACCACCAGGAAAATCAGCAGCAGGAACCTGAGCCCAAAAGATGCACGGAAGGAGCTGGGTGAGGTGTGGCTCCAGGGAAAGTTAGGTGTTCCTGTTGCTTCCCTGATGGGGGGCAAAGACTCAGCTAGGCTGGCTGTGAGTAATCTGGGATGCTGAGTTGCTTAAGCATCTCTCTTCCCCACTATCCATACACACCCACTGGGGCCTTTGAATGTTGGAGGGTTTTTGAAGAGGCAGTTTCTTGATTTTCAAATTCATTAAATTTATTCATCCAGCCTTCCTTTGAGTCAGCCATCATCCATCCATTTAACTAATATTTAAGCAACTAAACAGCTTTTAGATGTAGGTGTTGATGATTCAAAGGTGGCTAAGACTGGGTCTCTGTCTTTGAGGAGCTAACCATCTAATTGAGGCAGCTTGTAACGTTTAGCTTAGAAAATACAAAAGTCAAGATACAGACGATTAAAACTGTCTTAAGATTTCTGAAGGACTACCTCATAAAAGTGGCAGCAGACTTTTTTTGAATGCCTTTTAAGGTCAGCACTAAATAAGAGTCATTTAGGGAGATTTCAGGAGAAAGAACAATTGCTTTACAGTTAGGTATCCATCTTTGGAATAAACTCTTATTCTGAAAAGTGAGTTCCCCGTCACAGGAAGCGTTTAAGTAAACACCGTTCGGCAAGCAATCTGAAGGAGATGCTTGGGTAGATATTGAATCACGTGACCCTTAAGATTTCGTTAAGTTGTATGATTTAACGCACTATTTCAAATTATTTAAGAAGAGGGCAGGACCATAATCTTACATATTTGTGTATACCATAAAATATTTTAAAAAAAACAAAGTATGGATGTTCTTACCAGATATACCAACCATTAGGGTGTTGACTGTTATAATTTGTGCACCTGGTGATACAGGAAGAAGAGTTAGTGCTAGACCTCTGGATGGCCAAAGCTTATTTCTTTTGGACCATGAAATTTGTGCATACGTTTACCCAGAACAATCGTCTACTCACTGCATGCCTCCTCAACGTAATTAAGCACAAGTTTACCAAATGCCTTCTCCTTTCAAGGTACTAAAAATACAGCTGTGACACTGGCAGACACATAAACAGATGATTATACTGTCAAAAGGTAACTTCTAGAGTTCCAAATACTGTTGTGTTAAGAAGGGCATGACTAACTTTTTAGGGCCACCTCGGTATCTGCGAAATCCCTGGGTGGTGCAAACAGTTAACTCACCTGGTTGCTTACAGAAGGGTTAGAGGCTCAAGTCTATTCAGAGGTGCCTTGGATGAAAGACCTGGTGATCTACTTCTGAAAAATCAGCCATGGAAAAACCTGTGGAGCACAGTTTTACTCTGACACATATGGGGTTACCAGGGAGCCAGAGCTGCCTTGAGAGCAACCGGTAATAGCATAGGTGTGGCTAAGAGCTTGGCTGCTAACCAAAAGGTCGACAGTTCGAATCCACCAGCCACTCCTTGGAAACCCTATGGAGCAGTTCTACTCTGTCCTATAGAGTCGCTGTGAGTCAGAACCGACTTGACAGCACATAACAACAACAACAGATAGTAGGCAGGTAACTATCCTGCCATTCTGTTTATTTAGGGATCCAGAGTCCTCTAAAACGCAATTTCTCCTGGGAAGGTTTACAGTGTCTGTTATACTTCAATATGTTGGTAGGTTTAGCAGGGTTGCAACCTGTTTAGACAAGTGGTGAGGAAAAAAATTAAGCAAGGAGGAAAATGAACGGGCCTGGCTACACATGGTCAAGACGCTCAAATCAACTGTGTGCCAAGAAACCTACTCTGGGTGTGAACAGTGGAAACCTGTTCATCACCACCTGATAAGCTTCCAAGACAGAGTTATACTTCAGCAAGTCTTCTTCTGCCATTATTAAAATAGCAGTCAGTACTTTTCAGCTTGAAAACATTCATAAATGTCAACCGATTTCTGGCTCACTGCCTTCCTGTGCCATGTTTACTATCATACTGGTTAGAAATGACTTTTTAACATAAGCAAATGTCAACTTAAAAACGTTACTCCAAACATTTCAGACCAAAGTCCATCACCCAGAGAACAAGCTTTTTGTTTCTTATTTTGTTTGACTGGTTTAGCATCGAAGATGTTTAGCCCAGTCACGGGTACAAAAGGCTGGGCAAAAAAATGACAACTGAAGTATGACTTTGAGTATCTCCCTAAAACAAATGACCGTCACTAAAAGATTTGAAAAATAATGAATGCGCAGCCCTACAGTGGAATATTTTCCAGTCTTCCAAAAGAATATAGATTTACGGATGATGTCGTTAAAACTATTGTTAAGTAAAATAATATCGAGAGCTCAGTCCCACTTTGTATATATTCTTTTACAGAATTACAACAATTTCACCAAAATAATCATTTTATAATTGTGCGTATAGTTATACGTACACATCGAATTATTAATAATGCTTACTTCTCTTGAGAATGATACTAAGAGGAACTTTCTTTTTTATATTTCTTTTGTAGTCATCAGACATTAAAATAATAAAATATTATAGTATTAAATATAAAAATCTTAGAAATGCAGTATCCCACCTCAGAGATGGACGTAGGGAAGTTCTCTTGGTGTCTTGACGCGATAGAAGAATGGAAGGCTCTTAATTTTGAATCTTGAAATCTAAGCTTACGGCCAGGAATGATTCCTCTTCCTCTATACATACAGGTTTATTTTTCCTCTTTCAATTTAAAAGCATCCCATATACTTTTTATATTTAAAGTCAATCCTAAATATCAACAACCCCGCTTTGTTTCTTAGTTCTAATTTCTGAGCCACTAAGTATTTTTTTTCCCAGCATTAGCAGTTATCCAGACTGACTGATTTATTTTTCTTTCGGATCCTGGGCACCCTCTGGTGGAAGTCCTGATATTCAGATAAATAACCAGGAGCATTAGCTGGAGAAATGCAAAGTGATCATGCAATGTCAGAATTGGCAGGCACCTCTGGGATCAGTTATTTCACCCTAGAATTTTCCACACTGGACAAGTGACATCCAAAGGGGGAAAGGAAGGAAGGAGGTCACTGGTTGGCCAAGAAACTTAAACTAGAATATGGCTCTTCTGCCTCAGTATGTTTCCTTTCCCATATTATTATTTCCATATTTCTCAAATTCAACTTTAAACAGAAACTTTTTGAAATCTGAAAAAAAAGCAATACCTAAATTGTAACAACATTTTAAGTACTCGTATTTAAGATGCAAGAGCTTAGTGTAGAAAAGGATAAATTTTTGAAGATCAGTTATTACTCAGAGATGTCTATAAGCTTGGTCAAATTGGGTATACCCATTGTCCTCAAGTCGATTCTGACTCATAGCAACCCTATAGCACAGAGCCCTGTTAGGGTTTCCAAGGCTGTAATCTTTAAGGACACAGACTGCCACATCTTTCTTCTGCAAATTGGGTATAATGACCGTCAAAAAGAAAAATTTCAAGGAGGCGTGAGAACTGACTATAATGTTAAGGAAGATCTTTCTAACAATCAGAGTTCTCTAGAAGTGGTTGTTAAGGAGGGCATTTTTCTATCCCTACCAGAACAACTTGTGGCGTAATGGTTAGGAGCTGCAGCTGCTAATCAAAAGGTTGGCAATTCGAATCCACCAGGTGTTCTTTGGAAACTCCATTGGGCAGCTCTACTCTGTCCTACAGGGTTGCTGTGAGTTGGAATTAACTGGAAGGCAAGCGTTTTTTTGTTTGTTTGTTTGTTTACCAGAACACCTGGTGCTCTACTTTATAGAGATGTTGTGGAGATGATCCATGCTCGATGTGGCTAGTTAGACTAGTTATCCTTCTCAGTACTAAGACTAATTCTAAACTCATTAATCTGATAAATTCAAGAAGAAATGCAGAGCTGCCCCAGTGCCTCATCTGCAGCAATCACGCAGCATTTCTTGTGCCAGGCGCTTTTCCAAACACTTCCCCTGTATTAACCCACTTTCCAGCGGACAACCTTGTAAGGCACGGTCACACTATTACAATTTCCATTTTACAGTTGAGGAAACTCAGTCATAGAGAGATTAAGTAACTTGTCAAAGGCAACATAGCTGCAAGTGGCAGAGGTAGGCTTTCTACCCAGACAGTCTGGCTGCGGCGTCCGTGCCTCACCACTGCTGTATTCCCACTGGGAGCAGTCACAGTCAGCTCCAGCCTTAGATTACTGTGTGGAGTACTGCCTGAAGGCATCCCATATCCTAGACTCCAGAATGCTTTAAAGAAATATGGAAAAACAAAGAAAGAAACGAGAGCCTGGAGAATATTAGACAAGAAGAAGAAGCCAAGAGTGAAGTTAGTTTGTAAACGGAATGTAGTAAATCCTATATAAATATAGTAGAATTGGAGTCCAGAATTGGCTTCAGCGTTCTAGCAGTTAATGAGTTGAGAGAAACAGTTGTTTATACAGTGTCCGCTAAAATTAACAAAAACAAACAGTAGTTACTCACCAGATACACTACTATTTTGGGGGTACAACACCAAACCCACTGCTGTCAACCCAATTCTGACTCCTAGCGACCCCGTAGGGGTTTCCAAGGCTGTAAATCTTTACGGAAGCAGACCGCCACATCTTTCTCCCACGAAGCTGCTGGTGGTTTCGAGCTGCCAACCTTTTGGTTAGCAGTCAATCGCTTTACCCACCGCACCACCAGGGCTCCTGTATTTCTGGTATAGAGACTATAGAATTTCCCGTTTGGGGCCTCGTAAAGAGGACGCTGTTAACAGTGAGGACAATGTTCTTCACATTACTCTTAGAATAAATGCCATAACAAATTTCATAGGTCTGGTTCTGTTTCTGTTGTTGTTGTTCTGTTCATTCCTCAACATAGGCCAAAGTGCCATTCCGTTACAATAATTTGGGGGAGGAGCTGAGGCACCAAATTATTCTACCCAGAGACTTGTAGCCTGACGAATTAAGCTGGGAGAAAACTGTATCGCATCCAGAAGCATAAATGGACTGTTAATCCCTCAGGTATATAATTTCATTTAAACATGGGGCTGCTGGGCTGAGGAGTTAGACAGTCGCCTGTCTAAACACAAATTCTGCCTCTTACTTGCTATATGATCTTGAACAAAATACTTAACTTCCCTGAGCCAGGTAAGGCGGTAGCATAACATTGGGAAATCTATTAATGCAATTATATTGGGCAAGATTCTTTCTATAGTATGGACATATTTGTGTTGTGAAAATCACCGTATTTATCTACATATGTATACATCCATATACTTGGTTATTTCTGGGGAAAAGAATGGATTGGAGATGCAATTAAGGGAGGTTCGTCACGTTTTATTTCACACCCTAAATTACTTATAATATTTAAATATTCTACAAAGACAGTGTAAAAATGCATTGTTCACACTAAAAATGTTGTAAAAAGGTAAAAAGTATTGATTGGATTAGTACAAAAATAGTCTGGTGTTTGAAAATAAATGTAAATAGAGTTAATAATAGGTTAGTTAGTAGTTTTTGTTTTTTTTTAAATAGAATATGTATATGTAATTGTCTTTGCACAATGCTTGGAGCAGAGAGATTGAGTGATAAAGTCGTTTTCTTTCTGCCTGATCAGAGATTGCTGTCACCTGCAGGCCTGCGTCTGGGCAACCCTTTATTCCAGTTCATGGATTTTTTTTCCCCTCTTATTCTCCCTTGCATTCTAACCCAAATCTCCTTTTGCCCTGTCCGTTTTGTATGTGGGCATTGGACAAGTCGCTGTTCTTTTCCGTTCCGTCACTTCTAAAGGAGGTTTGGAGTAGACGTTCTCTATGGAACCCTCCAGCTGCAATCTACCGTGCTACTCTAGGTACTAGTCTGGTAAAGAATAAATACGCTTTCTTATCCAGGTAACATTTTTTTTTATGGTGATGTAGGTGAAAGTTGACAGAGTAAATTCGTTTCTCATTAAACAGTTAATACATATATTGTTTTGTGGCATTGGTTGCCAACCCCATGATGTGTCAACACTCTCCCCTTCTCCACCCTGGATTCCCTGTTTCCATTCGTCCAGTTTTCCTGTCCCTTCCTGCCTTCTCGTCTTTGCTTTTGGCATGCCCATTAGTCTCTTATACATGATTGAACGATGAGGCACGTCCCTCCTGGGAGTAGCGACTGCGGTCCAGGTAACATATTTTAGCACAGATCAAAGAAGTCTTTCTAAACTGAAAATCTCTTGAATAAATATAGGTAGAGAAAGATAATTTTGTTTGAGGTTCTTTTCACTTCTTTCAGAAAACAGCCTGCCTTCTATTATAGATGTCATCCCACTAAGACCCTCCTGCAAGTGGCAAAAATTTTAAGATTTTTTGCTCTACCTTCATACATTCACTTTCTTTTTAACCACCTTCCCCCCAGTCTCAGCCACTCTATTGGTGTCTCTGTCTTTATTTTCTGTTAATTTGTATCTTATTTGAAATAGTTTCTTGTTTTCACCCAAAAGCAATGATATTAAATAATGACAAATATAGCAGACATTTCGGTGCAAAATAATGCGGCCAAAAAAAGATCCTACCTAAGTATCAGTATCAGTCCTCTGTTAATTTGTTAACTGCCTCTTTCTGGGTCTTAATTCCTCACCTGAAAAAGAGACCAGGAGTCTCAGTGGCTCTAAATTCAGCCTACACACCTCCTCAATATCATATTCTCCTACTATAACATGTTGATTAGAGAGTTGGATTCAACGTTCCAAATCCTTTCCAATTATTATTATGATTATTTTAATTCTATTATTTTGGGCCAAAGGCAGAGGATGAGGAGGTAAGATGAGGGCCATGATGTCCAGAGTCAGGTAAGCATACAAACTCTCCAAAACTCCGTTACGTCACAAATACCAGAAGATAGAGCAAAACAAACAAACCAAAAAACAGGTCCAAAATTCATGCAAAGAAACAGCAATAGAGAGGCATGCAAAAGCCAAAAGGGTGGCACAGAATTCACAAGCAGATTATCCACAATGAAATGATCCATCCAATACAAGGGAGTGATTCCAGGGCCAAGCAAAGCATCCCCCTTCACACGGCCTCTTACTCTGCAGCCTGTGCCCAGAGACCCTGGCATGGAGTGGCAGGCGATGAGAATTGGAAACAGCTGGCTGGCGGTGAGGGCTGTACCAGGAGAAGACAGTCCTTGGCAGAGGTGTTTTCTGACACTTGCCCTAAGTCACAGTACATTCCCGTTGTCATTAATCATCATCAGCCTTATTAATGGCACTTTTTCCCCGCCTCCTGAATAGAATCCTCAGAGCCATGAAGTCTACAGCACAAGAAGAATGAGAAAATTGAGTGAACGATTCACATACATCATATCCACAGTGCTTTGCTTGAAATGCACACATAATACAGGTTAGAGTTTTTTGTTAGTTTGCCCGTATTTGAATGATCCTGAAAACAGCCCCCCATTGTCACCATGACTTACAGGTGTGCATGCAGCAGTAGATGACTTCATGATTCTTTAATGAGCTGAAAGTACCCTTGAAACCCAGAGGGAGGGAAATGCAGTGAGCAGAAATCACTGGAAATCACTAAGCCCCTTATTTATTTAACAAAGCTGATCATAATGAAAATGCTTCTTTTCTGTTTTTAGAAAAATGGATCCATTTGCATTTTTAAACTACTTATTTTTAATTCTTTTCCCTGTGTGATTACCATGATCATTTGAAGCTCATTTGAAGCTTCTCATGTGATTGAGTCATTTTTATTTTTTTGAATTTTTAAAATGCTAAATAAAAAAAATGGAGTCTCCTGCTTATTTACTTACATTTCATGTTCTTCACATAGTAGGTCCGAGAGCACCAGCTGAAACACAAGTTTAGAACAATGCAGTCCAAACACCAGTCTAACCCTTTCATATAAACAGTGCCTAGAGACAATGTGGGTTTCTCTCATTTCGTTTGTTTTTGTAATTAAAAGCTCTGGAGCCGAGTATATTGTTGGTGCACAGAATTTTAATCGAAAAGAATCTCTGGGTAGATTTTCAAGCTCAGCAGTGACAGGAGACATATAATGTGCACCAGATTCCTATCCTACCTACCCCTCGAGATGGATTTGAAAACCCTTCTGTTTTTTTTATAGGCAGATTTTGCTTGCTCTAAAGGTCTTTGGTGAATTTTTTTTCTTTTTGGTTTTCACATTTTTAGCTCATCTAGAGGAAAGAGATTCATTATTTGTGGGTGTTATTTTCATGCAGAGGAACTAGATTCCCTGCTTGGGAACAGAAGTCAATTCTATTAGCGTTAATGAGTATTAAATACACCCACAAAAGGATGACTTTAACCAGCTTCAACGCTAAGGTCGACTTAAGATCATGTGGCAAGCCTGTTGAGATTCAAATTCCTCTTTTTATCAAAGAAGAGGAAGAAAGTAATAATTTTTATTGCTCTGTTTTAAAGGACCCAAACCATAACATTCTAACACAGTTTTCCTAGTTCGCTGTGTTGGGCTTATAAGTTATAATTCACACCAACAATCACAGAGGAAATACAGTATTCTTTGTTGGAGATTCTGTGTCTGCATTTGTGTTTGTGTGTCTCACCTTGAACTAGGACTTCTTCCTTGTACAATGAGAAGAATCTTCCAGTGTCATTTCTATGTAACTCTAAAAACTGGGCTGATAAAGTCAATGAAGTATTTGTGTGTGTGGTTAAGAGCTAGGCTGCTAACCAAAAAAAGGTCGGCAGTTCAAATCCACCAGCTGCTCTTTGGGAACACTATGGGGGTTTTCTACTCTGTCTTACAGGGTCGCTATCAGTTGGAATTGACTCGATGATAAGGGGTTTGATTTTTGGTTTTATTACACACAAATACAAGTAAGAAGTTCTAAAATTTAAGATGATTTGGAAACCTTGTGTGAGTTCTTGCTCTCTCTCTTTTTTTTTTTTTTTGTGTAATTTGAAACACATCTTTTTCAACACCTTGTATTTACTCCACAAAGTGTATCTGCGCAAAGGGATTTGTGGAGCTGCGGACGGAGCCATGAATTGGCCATCAGAGAGCACGGTAATGAACAATTTATAAGCACAGAAAATGAGTTGCATTCTCTTTTGCTAGGATGTTGCAAAAAAGATTTGCATACTAACTGAGAGGAAAATGAACATTCAAATTTTGTCCATAAAGATAGTTTATTTATGAGTCTATGAAATCATCTGGGATCCTGCTTAACATAAATAAAGGCAGCATTTCCCTTTCCAGTCACTCCAGAGTCTTCTCCGAATGCTGTAACCCAGCAAGGAGCACACAGGATTTACACGATTACCATCACTGCCAATGCATTAGCTGTCAGACGTCAGGTTATTATGAAGTAGAGAGTACCATCTTACTGTATTGCAGACCTAAGTCTTTCAGATACATTGCATTCAAGTAACATGGATAGAGTCCCTGGGTGGTGCAAATGGTGAAGTACTTGACTACTAGCTGAAAGGCTGGAGGCTCGAACCCACCCAGAGATGCCTTGGAAGAAAGGACTGGCAATCTGCTTCCGAAAGTTCACAGCCTTGAAATCCTGTGGAGCGGTTCTACTCTGCACACATGGGGTCACGACTGACTCATTGGCAACCAACAACGACAACAACATGGATAAGAGATACAGGTATTAGTCAGAAGGGGATGTGGGGCAGAGGAATTGAAATAAACCCTAAGATGGTTCTGTCCATGTCGGTCAGCACTGAAAAACTGTCAAACATACCACATATAGTTGTGGGCACCAGTAAACATGCCTTAAATTAATCCCGCCGTAGCATTTTGTTCTGTGTCAATAAGCACTTCTGATATTAAAAAAATTCACAGCATAGCAAGTTAAGCAAAGGTTAAATTTGCATTACATTACTTCAATAGCAATGGAACTAAATAAAGAAGAAATAAACAAGACTACTGTCATGGAGCAGTTGATTTCCTGTATCTCTGACCAATGAACATAAAAAGTCCTGAGATGCAGGCAACAATTTCTCATAGGAAATATTTTCAATGTACGAGTCGTTAAGTAACCCAGAGAATAATCCATAACAAATCAGGTCCTTGGAGTATTACCAAAAACCTTTTCCCAGAAAGAGAGGTGGTTACCTGGAATAGTGGCAAACACAAGGTTCCCGCTTTTGAGATCACTGATGTGAGACAGAAAGGTCTGGGTCCCGACATACTTAAAGGATAACGACCGCTTTGTTGTCTGTGTTTATCTCTCTCCTTCTCAAAACCCGTTAGCTTCTCTGTAAGTTATGCTCCAGACCAGGGCGTGCATTAATGATGGATCCCTGTGACTAGTAAACTGCATGCTGGGAGAAGGAATGTTAGGTGCACGCTCTCAGGTACCCAGAGTTCAAGGAATTTAAGTTTAAGGTCGGAACCTTGGTACTGTTTGTCAAGCTCTTAAAAGCAGGGGTTATAAATGGTGATCTGAAAACCAGCTGGCTGGTTAAATAACTCATTACATTCAAGTGCATGCTTTATTCCAGGGTATTTCTGTTTTTGGAGCGCGTGCGCGCACGCGCATGTGTGTGTGTGTGTGTGTGTGTGTGTGTGTGTGTGTGTGTGTGTATGTTTTATATAATCTGGTAGTTAGAACATTTATTCAGATTGGTTCCCTTTGTGGGTCCTCTTTGCTTTTCTTTTTCTACACATCACTACAAAGGCCAGGTCAAATCCAACCTTATGCATAAAGCTTTCCCTATCTCATAAGGATGGCATCCAACTTTTAAACAGGGCATATGTCAATGCTTATTTTAACGAGAGAACAACTACACCACCAACAATGAGAAAGTTCCCAAGGCTAACCAGGGAAATTCTGAAAAAGAACGAGGAAGAGGCACTGAACTACTGCATACTGAGACTTCCATAAAGCTACAGGAATTTACAAAAATTTATATGATGAGTATAAACAGAAAGACGCACGGAAAAGAATAGAGAGTTCAGAAATAGACCCAAATAAATACGAAGATTTATTTGAACTGCCATTTAAAACCACTGAGGAAAAGATGGATATCATTCAGGAAATGATGAAGAACTGAGTGGTCTGTAAAACATGGTTTTTAAGAGATTTAACTTCATTTATAATTAATTTACAATTCTAATTGAATTGGCAAATTAAAAAATTGATAATACAGTGGAGTTGGATAGATGTGGGGAAACAAATCCTCTCTTATATGGTTGGGAAAACTGTCCACCCCTTTTGGAAGACAATTAGGCAATATCTATCCACCTAAAAATGAATATACCTGTTGCAGTTCTCCTTGCAAGAATATATCCTACAGATACTGCCACACATGGCACAAATGATTATATGCAACGAGGTTCACTGAAGCTTTGTTGGTAACAGCAAAATATTAGAAACAACAAATGTCCTTCAAAAATATAACTGGTTAAATATATAATATCCATAATATTTATATCTATTCAACGGAATAAGCAGCTTTTTAAAATGGGGTGTGGGTGCAGATCACAGATGCTGACTTGGAAAAGCCCCTAAGAGTTATCATTTAGTAAAAGGAATAAATTGTAGAACATCATACTACTTTTTCTGCAAAAAATATGGCGGTATGGCTAAAGTATGTTCTATATATGTATGCATATATATATATATATGTTCTATATATCTATGCATATATATACTTACATACTCATAAGCTATATCTGCATGAAACTGTCGACCACGGTCATCTGTGTAAATGGGAAATGGGAGACAGAGAACAAGAGTGGGAGGGAAACATTTTTCACTATATAGTTTCTTGCATATTTGATTTTTGTTAACATTGCGAACATGCCATCTAATCATTTAACACAGACATATATTTTTAAGAGCCGTTTCGAAGCCAGTCATCTAGAAATCAGAGCAAGCATATTGTAGTTCAAGCTCCAGTGTAGTTCACCAAATCCAATCCAAATGATAATGTATGAACCTATTTATCAGCATTTACACGGATTGCACTAGAAACAAGCCAACGTGTGCGTTACCTAAAATACAGCTCTGAACTGGCCATTAAAGCATGTGGATTAGTTGAGCTGCATCCAGATGGGCTAAGCAGGCTGTGTGGTGGCCACGGTCTGTTTGTTATGCAGCGCTAGACACAGCCATGAATTTCAAAGCAGAGGAAGGGCTTGGTGCCAATGCCAATAGGAGATCAGTAAACCAAGCTTACAGTATTATTTGTCCCTAAGACACCCTCCATTTTGAGTGTCTCTAAAGCCTGCAATTAAGTAGAATGAAAATAGGCTTTTCACTGGTGAACTTCTTTATTAGGCGGTCAGAAGCCTGACTTCCGTCAGTGGAGTCTGTGATCTTAAGAATTGCTGGGAAAGGAAGGGAGGCCAGATGAAGAGGAGAGAGATGGGATGGAAACAAGGGCACTGTGTTTGGTTTAGCTTTCAAAACTGGAACAATGGCCAACCAGATACATGGATTAAATAAATATTGTGAAAAAAAATATGCGGTCCTGCAGCAGGTGGCTGAGAGGAGCGTGGCAGCCGATTGGAGGTGGTTACTATATATTCCGGATAATACTACCAACACCACTGCTGTATTTGGTGCTAAAATAAAGATTCAGATTCATCACCATCTCTCTCTTCCTGGGTTGCCTTCTACCTCTTTACTTCTCCGACTTGTCCACACCACTCCCAAAGGCCAGCTTGTTAGATTCCGCCTAAGACAGTAGTTTCCCTGGTATGATCCTTTCCCAACAACATGGCAGCTGGATTGGTCTTAGAAGAGGAAGTCTGACTACGAATGTCCTTTTACCTGCATCATTGAAAATAATTGATTTTGAGACACTTGTAGCTTCACATGTAGTTATAAGGAGACATCCTGTATACCCTTCACTCAGTTTCTCCCAATACCAGCATCTTGTCAAAACTATCATACAATATCTCAACCAGGAATTAACATGGATACAGTCCACTGTCTG